TATACATTAAAGACACGTCATTTCTGCGCTACTCTTTGTTTATGACAGTCTCTTTTCCTCTAGGTTGTAGAACAAATAAAACCTCATCACTACAGCAAGTATTAAAAACGTATTTCTTTCTCTTGGCGGTACTGGGGTGTGAACTGAGGACCATGTGCTTGCTAGGCAAGCACGCTGCTACTTGAGCCATGCCTCAGCCCTCTTTTTTTTTGTTTTAAACTTGCCTTTCTTCCACTTGAGCCGTTCCGGAGGAAGGAAAAATCACATTTCCACATTCTACAGATGGTCCATACAATTGTGCTCATCGATCTGATGACACAATGTACACCTGTATAACAAATACTTTTTCTGGATCCTCTCTTTTTTTTAAGTTTTGGCAGTACTGGGATTTGAACTCAGGGCCTCACTCTTGCTAGGCAGGCACTCTACCACTTGAGCCACTCCAGCTGACCTGGACCCTCTCTCCACGACTGCCCATTCCCTATTACAAAACACTGTTGAGAGAATTATGCACTGCTGTTAAGCAGCAATGACCCCATGACCTCCATTTTTGAATATCCTAAATACCAACATCAGTATCATTAAAAAGAACAGTGACAGCATCTCTTTGCTCCTCTGAGCTTCTCAACAACCCCATGAAACATGGAAAGTAGGCATCATTATTTCCAGCGCATAGGTTGGACCCAGAGAGACCAACTTGATGAGTTACCTGGCAAGCTAGGATGGTGCTTTGGCTAGCTAACTCCCAGCCACCTGTCCCCTAAAGCAGAGTTCTCAGTCCTTTAGCAGGCCTCTTCAGGATACCTGTCACCTCCACTTCCATGCCTTTACCTTTCATATATGACCAAAGATTTTCAGTACTGAATTTAGGCATCAGGACAAGTTAGGCTATACAAATGTGGTCCTTAGCTGGGCGCCAATGGCTCTCACCTGTAATGCTAGCTAGTCAAAAGATAGAGATCAGGAGGATCACAGTTAAAAGCCAGCCTGGACAAATAGGTCTTGAGACCCTATCTCGAAAACACCCAACACAAAATGGGGCTGGTGGAATGGCTTAAGGTGTACGTCCTGAGTTCAAACCCCAGTAACACAAAAATAAAAATAAAAAAAATAGGTTTCTAATTTTTTTTGTACGATACTGGATTTTGAACTCAGGGCCTCATATTTTCTGGACAGCACTATACCACTTGAGCCACACACTCAACCCTAAATTCTTTTTTAAAGCCTCCAAAGAAAAATTCAGTAGAATTCATATTAACCTTAAAAATTGGCTTATGCTACATGATGGGGCTGGAGTATGTTGGGAAATGGAACTAATGGTTCCAAATTTTTGTCATTATTATTGTTGGGCCAGGAGGGGTTGGAGTTTTTCGAGACAGGGTCTCAATATTCATGCCGACCTTGAACTCCATGTTCCTCCCACGTACTAGGATCACAGGCATGCACCACTATGCTCAGCTGTGTCTTTTGTTTGGTGGTTGTGCTGGGAATCAAACCCAAAGCCTTAAATATGCTAAGCAAGTGCTCAAGCCTGAAGCTGCAGGATGCCCAGCCCCCAAGAACTGTTTTTTCTTGCTACTGTCATCACAGAGAGCAGGAACTATTTCTCTGCCTCATCAATTGCCTCATTTGAAAAATGAAAATAAATACTCATTCTGCTGCATAATACTTTTCAAATCCCACACACTGTGTTATAAAGGAAAGGAACTCTGCAGCCACAAAGAGAGCTATAAGGATCATTTCATATACATTTCCTCCTATCTGCTTCTAAAAGTAGTTATAGGAAACCTACATGAACACAGTGCACCTTTCCCAGAGACTGTCTGAACCACCTGAAGGGCTGACTAAAATGAAGAGGTAAGATCTCGGGGTGGGGGAGTAAGAAGATGGCCCAAACAATATATACACATATGAGTAAATGTAAAAACGATAAAAGAATAAAAAATTAAATAAAATTAAAAGCTCTCCCAGTCAGCAGCCCAGATGTGTAGTTTAAAAGGCAGGTCACCAAGAGCACACCTGTAATCCCAGCACTCGGGAGGCAGGAGGATATCGTTCCAGGCTAGCCTGGTTAAACAAGGAGTCCCTACCTCACAGAACCAAGGGCTGGGGGTGTGGTTCAGAGGCAGAGTGCTTGACAGGCACATAGGAGGCCCTAGGTTTTATACCCAGCACTAGAGAAAGAAAAAAAACAGACATTGGGATAGCTTGGTCACACAATGCCAGCTGGCCCTTTCTCAAACTTGCTTCACTTTGTCTTTGTCATTGCCCCTTCAGGATCTGTCTTTACTGGAGGGATTTAAAAAAAAAAAAATCACAGATAGCTGAGAAATGAAACTTCTAAATCCTATTCTCAAAAAACTGCACAGATACATAAAAACCTGTGTTTGGTTTCAGGGCACTTTTTAAAAGCCTGCAGTTACACTAAGAACTCAGTTTAGGGCTGGAAGGATGGCTCAAGTGGTAGAGCGCATGCCTAACCCTGAGTTCAAATGTCAGTACCACCACCAAAAAGAACCAGTTTAGCACTACATGCTGGTACCTATAGTCCCCGATACTTGGGAGACTGAGACAGAAAGATCACTTGAGCCCAAGAGTCCAGGTTGAGCATGGGTAACATAGCTCAAAAAACCCCTTTCTTTAGGTCTAGGGTATAGTTCAGTGGAGTACTTGCTTAGCGTGAACAAGGCCCTGGTTTCAATCTGCAGAGACACACACACACTGAACCCTGCTTAGGGTCACAGTCCTCTCACAATCCCTCATTAAGCAAAGTCCAGTTTCCACAATATGGGACAGAAGACCAAGTGTATTTTGTTTTGTTTTGGCTTGTTTGTCTGAGTTAATGAGAAAAGAATTAAATACACAGGGAAGGGATTTCCCTAGACAAGGCTACACCAAGGCTGCACAGCCTCTGGGAGGGATGGCGTAAGGTAGAGCTGAGTGTTGTAAAAGACTGATTTGGGAATGCTCTACACAAAGGCAAAAACTCCACCCAGGAGAGAATCTAACCCCCAGAAGTGAGGGCTCAGGGGGCATACCCCAAACTCCTGAGAGGCAGAACTTGTAATACAACTGGTTTCAGCCATTCCACATGCCTGTGATTGGGGCCTGCAGCCCAGTGTCCAGACTGTAACACACATGGAGAGGGAGGATATAGCAAGGAAACGGCACTGTTGGGAGTTACAGGCATGGGCTTGGAGACAGGAAGGTCATACATCTGTCCTGTCTGATTCTCTATCAAAACTGTGAATGTCAAAATGTCCAGCCTTTTGGCTTTCTATATACCGCACTTGTATTATTTTTGTGGTGCGGGGTATTGAACCCAGGTTCTTGCACATGCTAGACAGGTGCATGACCACTTGTGCTAACACCCCCAGCCCTTGTTACTTGTATGTTAAGAGCCTCAACTTCTGACGTCTTGAGCATATGCTTAGGTGGAAATGTGTAACCACTCCTCTTACCATCCAGGAAATGAGACAATTTTCACTAACTGCCTCCCCCAGAGGCTCAGGCAGGGAGGAGTGGTTGGTCTCTAGGTACATCCTTCAGCTGAGCAGCAAGATCAATAGACTGGGAGGAGGGTTGGGGGAGAATATGATGGATATGATTGCTTGGTACTCAATACCTAAGGAAAGCCAGCAGGAGGCAGCATGGGAACAGGGACGGAGAATTACAGCAGAACAAAAAAGGCAACAGGAAACACAGCCAGAGCAGGAGCCATCAATGGACTCAGGAAATGCAGGAGACACAGAATAAAGGACAGTGGTTCCCTCCCAGCATTTGCCTTCCCCCACTATTCTCATAAGACATGACACACTTTGGCACATTCTGCTAGCCAGGAGTCCTGAGCCTGATGTTTGGAACTGACTCCACCCTCATCTGTCTGTATGGCCTCTCAGAGCCACAGTCTCCCTACTTTAAGTAAGAAAGACTGAGATGAACTCTAAAGCTGCCCTGCACAGCTCTGACAGCCAAGGGTGGCAGAATCCTAGAAGTTTCCCAGTTTCTGTTCTTTTGGGTGTTATACAAGGAGAAAGGGACAAAGCACCTAGAAGCAAAGGAAGTAAGAGAAGACAGTCTAGTGTAGAAGGAAGAACATCAGATTTGAACCCAAAAATGTGGCATCTTCACTTACTAGCTAAGTTTAAGGCTTATTTATAAAATATGGATAGCCATCCCTTTTGCTCTTAACTTTATACAAATAGTCCCAACTTTCATTCAACCTGAACTTTCAAAAATTATATACTGACAACTATGTCCTAAATTATCTTCAAAGTCCCATCCAGACTTGAACACAAAAGCCAGATGCCATCCAGGCCCTTCCCACCAGCTGTGAGTTTTAGAACCTGTAGTGGAGATATTATTTTTACGTTATTTAAGGCACTGCATCCCTTCCTCTCGTCGTGGTAAATTCCCTTAATTGACACGAAAGGCAAAGATGGATAAAAGCACCCAAGTGATAGTTCTTAAAGCTTGATCTGGTGTTCACTCAGTTTAGAGCTGGTCAAATGTGTGCCCAAACGCAAGAGAAAGAACAGAAGTGGAGACTGCTAGACATGTATAAGCCAAGACTACATCGAAAGGTTAAAGTACAATAAGGGACTCCATACCATTTTTAGCTTTCAGGGAACCAAGCCCCTTCTTATGCATAAGTCTAGAGTCCATATTTACCACATTCAACATCTGTGTGTTTTCAGAACACATTATGTTCAAAATCCTGTCAGTACACTGTCTCATTCCATAAAAGATTTGAGACAGCTTACAGAAAAGTACAAATAGATCTGGACAAAAGCAAACATAAATCAGAAGGCCAAAAAAAAGTTCTGTTTATTCATTTATTTGGGCAATAGTGGGGCTTGAACTCAGGGCCTCTAGGTAAACGCTCTACCACTTCAGCCATACCTTTTGGGGTTAACCTGTTTTTTAGACAAGGTCTTGTACTTTTGCCCCAACAGTCCTCAGACAGCGATCCTTCTACCTCCACCTCTCAAGTAGCTAGGATTACAGGCATGAACTACCATACCCAACAGATCTGGGTATTTTGTTGTGTGTAAATGACATTTAAAACATACCTCAATTTTTTAAAAGCAAAAATAATAAATAAGTGACAATAAAAGCAGGGGGATGAGAATGAAAAATGCAAATTTTCTGTATAAGGAAGATAAACTCATCCAAAGCCAGAAAGGAAACATGACCAATTCCTGACTCCTGTTGCAGAAGTGTGCTCTTCAGAAGCCTTCAGTGTACATCCTTGATGCTAGCCTGCCTGAACATTTCTGCAGCAGGAGTGTGGCAAGAAAGCAATGTATGTCAGAGGAGGAGCCTGGAGGCTCAAATGAGATAAGAAAGAATTCACGAAACATGGTGCAAGCACTCAATCAGCTGTTCCGAATCTGAATTCTGAGAGCTGGAGAAGTCTTGGCTCTAAGTCTCAGGCCATGAGTATCATCAAAACTCAGGTTTTGATGCTAAGACTTCCCAGCATGACTAAACCAGCTGAGCTCAAAGTGGCCCTGGGATCAGTCCTTATCTCAATCTAACTCATAAACAAATGCCTCAGTTACAATGGCACCAACTGCCATTAACTGCCAAGAACATTCCTAGGCATGTCCACTGGGCTCAGTGTAGTGCAGGTCAGTAACTGAGCCCAGCATCCATATTCTCCTCCATCTTTTAATTATAGAACTCTGACTTTTAACTGAGGCATGACTGCCCTGGTAAGAGGATCTATATCCCAGCATCCCTTTCACCAAAGTGTGACCAAAGGGATTTGGGCAACCCCAGATCATGGCTTTTAAAAAAGAAACTGCATTTCTGTCTCTCTCTCCCCTCACTGCAATGTGGACATGGAGCCAATGAGTCTGCTTGGATCTTGTGGTTAAGAACAACACTCTGGGGGTGGCTGCACAAGACCTAAGGACACCTGGTTCCCAGTAACCTTGTAGAGTTAAGTCTGCCTTAGATTACCTCTGAACTATTAGGTGAGAGAAAAATAAACTGTCTTGTAAGAGTCCCTGTCCTTTTGGTTCTCTGTACAGTAGATTAGCCTGTGGCTTCACGTAATTTACAACAGAAGGGAAAAATGTCAGAAAGAGTTCAAAGGACTTAGGCAAAGGACCTAGGAGTCAGTTCACAAATCACTTTGGCAAACAGGTCAGAAAGGGAGAAGTAGCCAGTTGTGTCACCCCTGCATCTCCAGGAGAGTGACCAGCCACATCCTTGAGCAGAGGAGGGGCTTCAGTATAGCATAGCCCACAAATAGAGCATAGCATGGCCACTGGGGGGTCTTGGAAAAATCTTCAGGAGCTGAGGACACAGTTTTCCCCTTCAATGCTAGGCAGGGGCACCCCTGTCCTACCTTTTCCCTACAGTCCGAAAGGTCCAAGCTTCTTCATTCTTCATAATTACCATTCTTGAGGATGGGCCAAATCCAGTAAGCCATGGGGTAAAACAGTTGTTGGGGGGCTGCATGTGGAAGTCAGGGAAGGGAAGTCCAGAGCCCCAGAATAATAGCCACAGCTGGGAGCCAGAGGGAGAGAAGCCTCCATGTTTGCCATGGGTTTCTGGAACACAGGGCCCAGAATGCAGCACCTGCTTTTCCTGGGCAGAACCCATGGTGACAGCTGAGCCCACAGCTGCCAGTCATTAACGAATCCCAGCCACTGGAACCTGCTGCTGCTTGCGGATCTTGTTGAAGAGTTCCATGTACTGGACCATGGTATCTGCTGGACCATAGACCGCATCGTGCCTGTTCCCAAACACTGAAGGGGCCCCTGGTGTGTGGCTGCCTAGAAAACTCTGTAGGAATTCAAGCAACAAGCTCCAGCAGTCAGTAGCCACCACACAGGGGCCATACTCCACCTGGGACCAAAGAACAAAGAAGTAAGCTGAAGACACAGACCTTTTATCACACAGTTGATCTACAGGAAATACTTAACCCAAACACCAGGGATTCTACACACCCAGTAGTATTCCTATTGAGTGCCTCTGACATTCTTATTCTGAAGTTATGCCAACCCACAACCCTGCCCACAAGCCCTAGAGAAAATATAGGCTCCTGCCCCTGTTGATTATTTCAGGTTCATGAAGTCCCTGCTCTGCTGGGTGATAACTCAGGGAAAGCCCAGGAAAATTCTGAGAGATAAAGGGGAAAGGGAAAAGGAAGGAAAAGAAAGAGAGAGAAAGAAAGGAGGAAGGGAGGTAAGGAGGGAGAGAGAAAATATGGAGGGTGGGAGATGAATGAGGGGTAAGTAAAGAGTAGAGTAGGCATGTATGTTCTAGACCAAACAACTCCTAAGGTAGACCCAGCCAATGTGGCAGGGACCAAAGGATAATTATCTCAGGTTTTCTCATTTTTCTTAGAATTTTTCACTGAAGCAGGGGGAAATCACGGAGAAATAAGTAAGGAAACAGCTGGGTGTGTGTACTACGAGGTTGGAAATGTGGAGGATATCCAGTGGGATCCCAGAGCGGCTTAGCAAGTCAGGACATATCATGAGCTAAGAAGAGAGTTAAGAAATCTTCACCCTTGAGGTTCCTAAGCAGAAACTCCCACTAGGTCCCCTTTTCCTACCTGGGATGCTCCTAGACTCACCTCTCCCCAGGTCTTTACATTTTTTTCCGTGTGTATAGGGGGGTGGGTTGTTTGAGACAGGATCTCCCTATGTTGCCCAGGTTGGCCTCTAATTTACAATCCTCCTACCTCTGCCTCCTGAGTGCTGGGATTACAGGCATGAACCACTGTGCCCAAGGGTGTCTACATTTTAAGTCCATAACTACACTGCTCTTCCAGGAACCATAACAACTATTGTAGGCAATGCTCTCACTCGCCTGAATTCTCAATTGTGCTTCTTTTATGGCATATCTTAAGACTAACTTCAAAACAGTTTGTGTGTTTCAACCTTCTTACTAAATGATAAAATTCCAAATGACAAGCTGTGCAAGAGAGAGTGAGAGTGTTTGTACACGTTTAAATCTCATAGGGTGATGGGCACATGGCAGGTTGTGGACTTTCACTGCTCCAAAGTCAGCTACTACTATGCTTCCTGTTTGCCATTTCCAATATATATACAATATATTTAGGCTCAAAGATGAAAGCTATCTCACATATACACCCTTTTCCCCCATGAAAGAAAGCAGACAGCAAAGCGCTGGAGTGTGGTGCACATACCTGAGATCCCAACTACTTAAGAGGAAGAGGTAGGAGGATGGAAGTTCAATGCTTGGTTGGGCAAAAGGGTGAGATACTATCTAAAAATGTAAACTAAAGCAAAAAAAAAAAAAAAAAAAAAGGCAGACAGTGTGTCTCAAGTACAAGCATAAGGCCCTGACTTCAAACTCCAATACCAGCAAAAAAAACCACATTTTTGTCCACAACTTTGGAAACTTTTCTTAAAGCATACTAAGGAGAGCTGTGTGGACACGATTGAGAGCCCACCTCCCAAAAGTTGCTCCAAAAGTTGTCCTGTGTGTTCCAGTCCTTCTTGGGAGAGGTGATTGGTCCCTCTACATCATAATTCACCTGCCTTCACTGACTATCTCTGCCCTTCTCCAGCAAACCAGCCTTCCTAAGCTTTCTGCTTGCTGTCTACCTGCTTTCTGCTTCCAATCCTGAGCTACAGATTGAGTGGATGGTTAAAAAAAAGGATAAAAGATCCCTGGAGAGGAAGCACCAGTGCTCAGGAGTCAATGTGAACTGAGCAGGATTGGGAGATCATCAGAGACCTCTGCTGAGCAGCCCTGCAACACATCCTGCTCCTAATTCACCAAGGTCTTACCTCCACAGAGATGCCCCGGGCACTGGGCCCCATGGTGACTGTGCCCACCTTCACCAGGAAGTCACAGTATTGGTATCGGGTGCCCCGGGTCTCAATCTTGCTGGCCTTGGCACTCTGGAAAAAGCCCTTAAGCTTCACCATGAGCACATCAAAGTTGGTGTCAGCGATAAGGCAAGGACCATTCTCAAAGAGGGCGAAACAGCTTAGAGGGTACTCAGAGTTATGCATCACATACATCAGCTTTCCGGACTGACCTACAAGGGACAGACATCTCACTTACCATCCAGCCTTTTGTCAACACACCCCAGGATAGACTCCCATGCACAGAACAGGCCAGACAACAATCTGTCTGCTAAGTTGTCAGTCTGGGAAAGGGCAGAGAGGTCACCTAACTTATAGTCTTTTCCAGAATGTTAAGAGAGCAACAGTAGGCCAGGTGGCATGGGCTAAAACCACCCCACTCTACAGAAAAAGGTGAGGGGCACCCAGAGAACTCTGAGAATGTTGATAATCCTTTAATTTAGTTGTTCTGTGGTAGGTTCACCGATGCTTAATTATGATGATTACCAACTCAGAGAGTTGTTAATACATAATCTTTTATTACCATACATTATATAATAAGTAAAAGTAAGGGCTGGGGATGTAGCTCAGGCTAGGCAAGAGTGCTTGCCTATCATATGGCATGTGGGAGGCCCTGGATTCAATCCCCAGCACCTCAAAAAAAAAAAGTAACAGCATTTGGGCAAGTCCCTACCTACCTTGACTAACTCCTTTAACACCTAGGAAATGGTCTCACAGAAGCAGGAACAGGAAGTCTGTCAGCACAGGATGGAACAGTAAGCCAGAGCCAAGCGGTGATAAACCTTGTCTGCCCTATCTGAAGAAGTTGGGATTATCCTGAAGGGAAGGTTAAATGCCTGGAAAATTTTAAGTTTAGCTGACCTGGGAAGCAAGAGGCACAGTATAGCAGAAAGAACTCAGGATCTAGGACCTGAAGATCAAGTTTCAAGCACCAGTTCACCTTTTCCATCTCTGAGAAATGTGTTTTCTCATTGATTTTTTTTTGGGGGGGGTCAGGTTTGGGGACGGAACCCACCTCTTTGACTATGGTAGGCAAGTGCTCTCCACTGAGCCACACAGCCCAGCCCTCTCACTGATTTCTGCAAGGAGGAAGCGCTAAGGTTAAAGAGAAAATAGAAAAAAAGACTCTCTTTAATATACTACAAGAGTTAATAGACAAAAAAGATCAAAAGTCCAAAAATAAAAGTAATTACTAGAGAAAGACCAGAGGTCTTTTGGAACTTCAGGACAGAAAAAGATCAAAGTAGGCAAGAATCAACAGGAAAAACTAAGAAAAACAGGACTTCAAGTGGGATATTGAGAAGGTAGGGTTCTGCCACATAGCCCAGTAGTACGATATTCTAGCTGGGGTAAGAATGTAGCAATGGAAGGAGGAAAAGAAAGCAGGGGTTGCTGGCCCTGGGATCCTAGCTACTCAGGAAGCAGCAATCAGGACAATCGAGGTTTGAAGCCAACCAGGGCAAATAGTTTGAGAGGCCCTATCTCGAAAAAACAAAAACACAAAAGGGCCAGGTGCTCATGCCTGTAATCCTAGCTACTCAAGAGGCAGAGATCAGGAGGATTGCGGTTCAAAGCCAGCCTAGGCAAATAGTGAGACCCTAGTTCCAAAAATCCCTTCACAAAAAGGCTGGTGGAGTGGCTCAAGGTGTAGGCCCTGAGTTCAAGCCCCAGTACTAAAAAAAAAAAAAGAAAGACAAGACAGCAGGGGTTGGAAAAGCAAGGAGCAGTGAGACTTCTCTATACTCCACCTGTCTTCACCTCCTAAATACAACAGGCTCTATATAGAACCTCCAGCCCATATTCCTCCTGCCTGTGCACTGCCAACTCACACCTTCACCTCCTTCTAAATCCAGTTCAGTATCACGAGGCTCAAATAAGTTACTCAAAACTAATTTCACCATTCTGATCTCAGGTCTACTTAATTCTAGTTACATGCTTAAGTCATATTACTGAGTCTGCAAGTGTTTTTATAGTCATAGAAATATTTTAAAAGCAACTAAGTTGATATTTCTTAATGAAAAAGGCACTTCTGTTTGTTATAGATTTTTTGTTTGTTTGTTTTGTTTTTTTCATATAGGATCTCACTATGTAGACCAAACTCTCCTCAATCTTGCCATCTTCCTGAGTGCTGGGATTACATATATCACCATGGCTAGTTGGTAGAGTGAGTCAAGATGTGGGCCCTGAGTTCATATCCAAGAAACACAAAAAATAAGGCATTACCAAGCCTTCCAGGTGATGTTAATGTTGGCCATATGAGAACCATGGACCCAGAGGCACAGAGCCAGTAAGGCAGCAGAAGTAGAACTCCAAGTCGATTGCTCATTTCTTTCTGTACCACTGCCTGCCACAAATGTGTTTTGGCTCCCCAAGTAGATGGTAGCTTCTTAAAAGAAAAGGCCTGATCAGGAGAGCACAGCCCACACTAGGTAGTTTTTCTTGAAGTAGTATGCCATCTTATATGCACATACAAACGTTTTCTTCCTCAAACGCTTTCATCATCCTTATCTCCATTCTTTTGCCCTTCCTACTGAAGGCAAAACAAATGATAACCACTGCAACTTTATTAAGATGAAACAGTACAGCTCTCAGCTACTACCTACTAATTATAACATGATAACTTCAGTTGTGTTTTGCATGCACTAACTTATGTAATTAGTACAACACTAGGAGATAAGTAGTATATATATCTTCATTTTACAATGAGAGAACTGTATTGGGAAGAGTCCAAAATCAGAGCCCATGCCAGATAGTTTCAGCAGAGGGCACTTATACAAGGACCAAATATAGGAGTAGGAAGAATGGAAAAACTAGCCAGGTGCCAGTGGCTCTACACCTTAGCTACTTGGAAGGCTGAGATCAGGAAAATTGAGGTTCAAGGCCAGCCCAGGCAGATAGTTCATGAGACTCCCCCCCCCACATCTCCAAAATAACCACAGCAAAATGGACTGGAGGTATACCTCAAGCAGTAAAGCACCTGCTTTCCAAGTGTGAAGCCCTGAGTTCAAACCCCAGTCCTATCAAAAAAAAAAATCAAACCAGATAATAACACAGGAAAATCCTTCCACCCCAAGGGCTGGAAGGAGAAAGATGTGCTGTTAGCAGAGTCAGGAATGAGGGCTGCCTAGCAGGAACCAGGCTCCCTAACTCATATTCAAAGATCCTCATTCCCTCTCTACCATCACTATCACCATCCACACTCCATTTCACCACTCAACAGTCAGAATTGACAAAAGTTGATTCACTAATCAAGGTTATATGAACAAGGTGACCAAGGTCACCGTCTAGGTGTGCAAAATAGGAAGACTTTACACAGAAGGTCCTATAAATTCTAAGGCTCTAAAAGAATTCTATATTAAGACTTTTGGATCAAAAACGATTCTTTTCTCAAACTTCAGAGACCATAAGAACCAACTGGGGAGCCTGTTAAAGTACAGATTATGAGGGCTGCAACACAGTCAGTGGGTAAGCAGGGCCAAAAATACACATTTGCAAGTAACTTCAGTGATTTGACATAGTTCCTCAGCAACCAACCCTCTGAGAAACATGGCATTAAGAGTCCAAGCTGTTGGTAGAATGGTTCAAGTAGTATAGCCCATGCCTCGCAAGCATGAGGCCCTGAGTTCAAGCCCCAGTACTACCGGAAAAAAAAAAAAGAAAAAGAAAAAAAAATCCGAACTGCACAAAACAAAACCACCACAAAAACTTTTGGAAGTGGTGGATGTTTAGTGTCTTGGTTCTGACAGTGGTAGCATGCATGTATGCTGTGTCCAAACTCATCAAGATGTAGTATGTCTGCAATCCCAGCTACTCAGGAAGCCAACGCCGGCATACCTTGCGTTCAAGACCACCCCAGGCAAAAGGCAGGAAGATCCTATTTCAAAAACAAAATACAAAGAAAAAAAAAAGGGCCGGGGTCAAGGCTCAAGTAGTAGAGCACTCACACAGAATGCCAGAAACTCCGGGTTCAATCCCTAGTACCAGGAAAAAAAGGTCCTGTATTGAATGTGGAATCGTTTGTATGTTAATTACACCTTAATAAAGCTTCTTAAATTAAAAAAAAAGTCCAATACCTTCTCAGGAGGCAGAATTTGGGAGGATTACTGTTTGAGGCTAGCCCAAGAAAAAGTTAACAAGACCCCATCTCAACAAATGAGCCAGGTGTGGAGGCATATATCTGTGGTACTGTCTATGTGGGAGGCCACAGGTAAGTGAATCAAGGTCCAGGCCTTATTTGGGAAAAAATTGGGGACCCTACCTGAAAAATAACCTAAAAGCGAAATGGGCTGGAAGCTTGGCTGAGTGGCAGAGTGCTTGCCTAGCAAAATCAAGGCCCTAAATTCAAGTCCCAGTACCACAAAAAAACAACAAACAAAACTCAGAAAACCAGCACTAGGCAATCCCAGCACTCAAGAAGCAGAGACAGGAGGATCTTGAGTTGGGAGGCCAGTCTGAGCTGCACAGACCCTTTCTCAAAACTCAAGGGTTAGGGTGTAACTTAATGGTAGAGCCCTACTGTCCATCCCCAGCAAAAAAAGTACAAACTGACCGTTTAAAATAGTTTCAGTCTAATAGATGGTGGACCAAGAATTAAAGAATTCACAAACACATACTGCCAGAAAAGTAGACAGGAGTCATAAACATACAAATTCCAAGCCAGGTTCCAGCCATCCCCCAGAACCATCTACTGACCTTGGTTGCCCAGGGTAGAGGCAGCTGTGTGGTAAGTCTCACAGTCCACACAAAAAGTTCCTTGCTTCTCTGCCCCAAGCATTTCCAATTTCCGGGTGAGGAGCTCCACCGTCTGCTGGACACTCTTGCCCTCAGCCACAGGCATCTGGGACACACTAGAAAGGAGAACATGAAGTCAGCAGTATACAGAGAGACCCATGCACTAGTTGAGCCACTCACTCCCCCACAGAATAACAGCTCAGCAGGTCCGGGTGCCACCTTAGGCAACACCAACCCCTTAAGCCCAGGGAAATAGGGGCCCACAATCCCTATTTCCTCTGAGAACCAGAAGAGAATCCCTAAACTGATGCTGTAAATGACAGAAATTCTGGGATTCTGAAAAAGTTGAAAAAATCCCATCAGAGCCTCTTTCCCTGGAGCTGCCTTCTCTATAAAAAGAAAACAACCAAATTGTAATCCAGCAATTGGGAGGCTGAGGCAGGAGAATCACAAGTTTCAGGCCAGCCTGAGGTATACAGCAAGACCTTGTCTCACAAGACCAAAAAAAAAAAGAACAGGGGATTCCAGGGTTCCACTTGAGCCACACCTCCAGCCCTTTTTGCTTTGATTATTTTTGGAAAAGAGTCTTAAGTTTTTGGGCCAGCCCTCCTGGACTGAGATCCTCTTATTTAAGCCCCCAACAAGCAGGATGACAGGCACCTGCCACCACGACCAGCTACTGATTGAAGTGTGTTGGGGGTGGGGGGGGTAAGTTCTCGCTTTTTGTCCAGGCTGGCTTCAAATCTTGATTCTCCCAAGTAGCTGGGATTACAGATGTGAACCACCATGCCCCACTGTGCTGCAACCTTTCCATTTCCATCGCTCACACACACTCCGCACACTAGAGGACTAACAGGAGGCTTATGGCACCTGTGGGGAAGACACATGCAACCACTGAGAAAACTGTAAGAGCCTGGGCTGCAGAAGTACCTCCCATATGCTCCCTTTCATAGGACAAGGTTACAGCCCTTGACTTCAGATAACTGGCCTCCAGTGCTCTTTAACTAAAGACAGTCAAACCTGCCGAAATTTCTTTTTTTTTTTTTTAAGTCCCTCCCAAGACCTAGCACTTTGGAACTACTGTCCCCAAGAGCACTGGGCCCATGCCTTTCCCACCTGGTTTCTTCACTGAGATTGATAACATGTTAGACATATAAAGTCAATTGAAACTGGCCCAACCATGTAATTCAACACTGTAGGAATCAGGCCCTGCATAGGTAAAATGCCTGGAGGCCCGACCTCCTAGTTCCCAATAACCTCTTTTTTTTTCCTTCTCTCTAGACCCAAGATCTTAAAGTGCCCAAATAAGAACTAGGCTGCTCTAACTGCATATGCTGGCTCTAGGGAAGCGCAAGCAAAAATGTTTTGTTTTTTTAAAAAAAGGAAAGAAAGAGAACGAAAAGAATACTGTCTCCTCGTAGCCTACCCTTCGCCCCCTCTATCCCTTGTCTGCAGATGGGTCGTAGTCCGCAAATCCTATTTCCAGCCCTGAAGTCCCACTCGCGACAGGACTATGGCCTCACAGGCAGAAAAATGTTACCAAGAAAAAAGGAAGGAGGTACATAACCGCTGATGAGTTCCTAGGAGGAAAGCTTCGCCCTGCAGCCTTCCTGGTTTCCGAGGAAACAGGCCTAGAGAACCTGCGGCCCTCACAGTGTCCACTCATCTCCACAACCAGAGGACATCTGATTCTGGACATTCCAGGGGACGGAGGACCTCGGTCCGGATCCTCCTCCCGGGGCCACAGATTCGGAAGAACCCTTGAGGACTCCAAGCCCCGCCATACAAAATCCCCTACAGTCTTACCAAGTCACTCCCATGGCGCTGGACCAGGAGGATGGCACGAGCAGATAGCCCCACACAGAGCACTCTGAAAGCCCACAGGCTCTGAAGCCCCCAAGTACTAGCCGCGGTCGCGGAAGGGATTCCGGAAGTGCGTAAAAACAGAGCGCCGCGTAGACCCGCCCACAGGAATGGAGCGGGTCCGGCGGCGACTCCAGTGACGTCATCGTCCCGGGTCCGCCCCGAAACTTGCAACTCGGGAAGTTCCCATCTGGCCGGGTATCCTAGGCCTATATCTATGAATTCTGGTGAGCGTTTCTCGGACTGCTGCTACTTAGAGAAGCCAAAATTAAAGGCACTGAGTTTATCTGGGACTCCGGAGAGCGCATCTCCAGGACCCGGGAGCTCTTTGATGGGTGGGGCGGCGCCTGTGGCACTTCTAGCCTCCGAACGCTTGGGGGAGCTGTGATCTCTGCGTGTCTTGTGCGGCACTGGAAGTCACTGCGCAAGCGCACTTTGGGCTTTTCGTCGTCCCCACGTGCGAAATCTTCTTGGCAACTTTTACAAAAAAAAAATGCCCAAATTCAAGGCGGCCCGTGCAGCTGGGAGTCAGGAGAAGCATGCGCCGCTGGCCGAGCAGATCCTGGCTGGGTACACAGTACGGCCAGGGGCCCGAGAAAAGCGACGGGGTCGCGGGACCGAAGAGGAGGAAGAGTATGTAGGGCCCCGATTGACCCGACGGATTTTGCAACAAGCCCGGCAGCAACAGGAGGAGCTCGAGGCCGAGTACGGAACCGGGGACCGGCCGGCCAAGCCGCTGGAGCGCGCCACGCGGCTGGGTGAGTGCCGCTGGATGGGATGGGCCGGTTTAAAGGAGTCCGTGAGGAGAGAAGTTTGAAATTGATGTTGGGGCACATTACGCCCTTGTAGGATTAATGAGATGAGAGAAAACCCTGGCCAGAGTATTTATTCACTAGTTTTTGTTTGTTTGGTGGTATTAGGGTGTGAACTCAGGGCCTTGTACTTGACAGGCAGGCGCTCCACCACTTAGCTACGCCCCCAAGTCAGATCCACTTGTTAAGTGTATGTGGGATACCTGCGTCGTGCCTTGTAGCATGGTAAGAGTTTGCATGATTAGAGTAGAGATGGCAGGGGGGAGAAATGAACCAACCCTTGTATGCACATATGAATAATAAACGAAAAATGAAAAAAAAAAGGCTCCAACTCTACCCCTGTAAAAGAAAAAAAAATACTGTTTTGTTTCAAAAGTGATAAATGTTAAGCAAAAAGAAAAAAAAAGTTTAAAAAAATCACAATATCAACTATGGAAATACCTTAAAAAAAATGATTAGAGTAGAGATAAAGTAGACAGGCGGCTGACTTCAGGGCTGAAGTGTAATCCTGAAGAGAGACAATTAGAATAACATACTATTCTAAACAATAGACAATTAAAGGGCTGGAGGCGTGACTTAAGTGGTAGAGTGTATGCCTAACAGGAGGCCCTGAGTTCAAACTTCAGTACCACCACCAAAAAGAAAAAAAATGCTAGAAAAACAGACAATTAAAATAAATATATTCCATGATAAAGTATCACTTCTCTGATAAAAATAGCATTAATCTTAGAGATCAGGCTTCGCAGTTTGCACACCTTCAAGCTGAGACTTGGAGTCTTGAATGGGAAGTGTTCCAGTCAGCAAAATACAGTGTTATTTAGGGGCTAAAGAGGGAAAGAGATGGATTGAAAGATGTTCCATCTTTTCCTCATTAGGGAGGAAGTGTTGACTTCTGAGTTTTTGATCTTCCAGCCTCATCTTATTTGTCCTAAAAGTAGTATTTGACACAATTGAATATGGCCTCGTGGCTGTAGTTGTTTTGTTTTTGAGGTAGTATGTCACTATGTAGATGAGATTGGCTTTGAACTGCACATCCTCCTGCCTCAGCCTGCTGACTGCTGGGATTACAGCATCATCACACCAGGCTGGTTACTTAGTTTCTAAGACATCACACACCTGTTTTACTGCCACCTCACTTCTCAGTATCTTTTATTGATCTCTTCTCTTGTCCCCAACCTCTTATTGATGTGCCATGGGACTCAGTCCTCAGAACTCTTTCAAATGCATTCTTTTCTCTGTTGCTGTCATCAGAGCATTTCATTGTTTAAAATCATCTATTTGGTAACTATTAGCAATTTTATGTTCCAGACCTGATTTTTTTTTTGGAGGGGGGAGGGGGAATGGAGTTTGAACTCAGGGCTTTGAACTTGCAAAGCAGGCACTCTACCACTTGAATCACACACCAGTCCATTTTGCTCAGATTATTTTGGAGATTGGGTCTCAGTATTTGAACCTCAGTCCTCCCAGTCTCAACCTCCCAAGAACCTAAGATTATAAGTATGAGCTACCAGCACCAGCCAGACCTGATTTCTTCTTCTTCTTCTTTTTTTTTTTTTTTGGCAGTACTGGGATTTGAACTGAGGGCTTCAGGTTTCCTAGGCAGGAGCTCTTACCATTTGAACCACTCCTCCAACCTTGTGTAGAGTAGGGTATTTTTGAGATAAGGTCTTGAGAGCTATTTGCCTGAACTGGCCCAGACTGACTTTGAACCTCAGTCTTCCTGATCTGTTCTGCTGAGTAGCTAGGATTACAGGTGTGAGCCACTGGTGCCCAGACAGACCTGATTTCTTCATGAAACCTAGATTCTTATAACCAGCTGTCTATTTGGTATTTCCAAATTAAAGTTTAATATTTATCTCAAATTTAACATGTTGGAAACAGAAATCCTGACCTTCTCACCAAACCTGCTCCTCCTGCTGCATTGTGGTGTCTCTTAGAATGATCGCCTTCCATTTGCTTAAGGCGGAAACCTTGGACTTGTCTCTCTCATTCCACATCTGATTTGTCAGGAAGTCCTGATGACTCTGCCTTTAAAATACACCTAGAACCAGACCACTGTTCACCACATTGAGCCACCATCCTGTTGGAGTTGCCATAATCTCTCACCTGGATTATTACAGTAGCCTCCTAATTAATATCCTGTAACCTCTGTAGTCCACTCAACAGCTAGAGATCTACAATGTCCTGTGTGACCTGCTTCCAAGGCCAGTCTGCCCTCTTCTACTACTTTCTCTTTTGCCCTCTCCACCCCACCAATATCCATTCCTTAAGTGTGGAAAGTCAGGGCCTTTGCACCAGTTGTTCCTTCTTCCTGGAGTATTCTGTTCACAAACCTGCAGGTTTGCTTCCTCAGTTCTTTATACCTTCTCAAGCTTGTCCTAGCCATGCCATTTCAAATTGCACCATCCACACCTGTCTGCATCCTCCTGATTTCTTTGCCCTCTTCATTTGATAGCCCTTGTCCTCTTTTAAACCAATGTAGTTATTTATTCTCTAGGTTCAATCCCCAGCACCACTTAAAAAAAGGGAGCAAGGGGTCTGGTGGTATGGCTCAACGGTGGAGCACTTTTCTGCATGTCTGAGGCCCTGTGTTCCATTCCTACATAGTTGGGTCGGGGGGAGGGAGAAACACCAAATTTATTTGTTTTCTCCACCAATTGGAATATAAACTCAGGTAAGTACAGAAATTTTTGTTGCTCTCGTTTGTTGATCTCATCTCTTCCCAGCACCCACAGCAGTGCCCCACATAGAGTAGCACAGTGTTTGCAAAATGGATGGATTACTGAAGGTGGTGACAATAGTAGGAGTCAGGCCTGCAAAAGTCTTGGAGGCTAGACCAGTATTTAGAGCCATCCTCACAACAATGGGAAGCTGTTGGAGAAGTCCTAGAGTATAGGACTGGCCAAATCAATTGTGTGTTTCTGAAAGCTTACTGTGGCTGAAGAATGGAGAATGAGTTGGAAAGAAGTGAGGTCAGAAACATGGAGACCAGTTAGGAGATGGTCAGATTAATCTAGGCCAGAGGTGATGCTGATGTGGGCATAGACAGGGCTGTGAAGGCTTTGAGGGACCATCTGGGTCAAATCAAATACGATTTAGTAAGTGACTGGATGCGGAGGGTTAGGACAGAGGACAAGACAACCACGTCCTAGGTTTAGCACTGGAGGGATGGTGGTGCTGCTTACTGAGCTGTGGAAGTTTGAAGTACCTATGAGTCATCCAAGGACAGCTGTACAAGGAACACCTGGAACTGGATCTGAGCCAATGGGGGAGATTGCCCCTACAAGTACAGACTTAGAAATTATTGGCACGTTCAGCTTTTTATCACACACTACCTCTTTTTCTTTTTTTTTTTTTTTTTTACTGGTAGTGGTGGGGTGCTAGGAATTAGCCTCAGGGTCACTCATGCTAAGCATGCACTCTTCTGAGTTATAACCCCAGCCCACCTCTGTTGTAGATCCCTTTCCTGATGCCCAGCCACTTGTCGCCTTCCAAAACTCAGTTATTCAAATGTATTAGTGATTTAGAATCTGAACTCCATCCTTTGGCCTTTGAGGCTCTGTAGACTAGCTTGGCTTTTCTCATCTAACCCTATTTCCTATTTCTTCTTTTTTTTTTTCACCATGCTGGGTTTGAACCCAGGGCCTCACACTTGCTAGAGAGGTGCTCTGCCACATGAGCCATACCTCCAGCCCTTTGCTACTCTAGTTATTTTTCATATAGGGTGTCACCCTTTTTGCCTGGGATCAGCCTTAGACCATGATCCTCCTACTTTTATGTCCATCATAGTTGGGAGTACTGGTGTTTACCACCACACATTGCTTATTTGTTGAGATGGAGTCTGGCTAACTTTTTGCCCTTGCTAGCCTCAAACTGGGGTCCTCCACATCTCTTTCTGAATAGCTGGGATTGTGGCATTTACCACCAGGCCTACCTTATGACCCTATTTTTGGCTATTTAATGCCCAACATCCAACTCTGATAAGTCTTTTTTCCAAGTCTGGAACATATGCTCTTGCTCCCAGACTGTCTGCCCAGAGCTTGCCCATCCTCCACACCCATCTTCTAAATTCCCGTGATATATATTGTCTCTACTACTCACGTTAGCACGTGATCCATCCTTGCTGTGTGAGTAGCATAGTGGTGAAGAAGAATGCACAGTCAGGCCAGGCACTGGTGGCTCATGCGTTATAATCCCAGCTACTCATGAGGCAGAGATCAGGAGGATCGTTGTTCAAAGCCAGCCCTGGCAAATAGTTCTTGAGACCCTATCTCGAAAAAAACCTACACAAAAAAAGGGCTGGTGGAGTGGCTCAAGGTTTAGGCCCTGAGTTCAAGCCCCAGTATTGCAAAAAAAAAAAAATGGGTGCACAGTCAGGACCCATGGGCAAATCAGCTTTCCCGTGCTTCCTTGTCCCTATTGAATTGGGTATAAGATAGTGCCTACTTCCTGCGGTTGGCGGGGTTAAGCAGGTAAGGCATTCGGATGCAGGACAGTTCCTACTGCGTAGCTGAGAGTGGTGTGCTGCCATTTTTGCAGACATTGCTATCTCATTATTTCATATGTTACATTTTGTTTCCCAAGCAAGATTGCAAGCCCCTGGGGACAGAAAGGTAGTATGTGTCTCATGTCTTCCCTTGCACACATCTGTATCTATGGCAAGCACCTGCGGCCTGCGCCACAGTTGCAGTTAAATTGACTCAGAAGGCCCACCCCTTGCCATACTCATCCCTTTCCTCTTCCCACTTCTAGGGCCCAGAGTGCCACAGGATGGATCAGATGATGAGGACGAGGAGTGGCCCACCCTGGAGAAGGCAGCCAAAATGACAGGGGTATGCCACCCAGCAGAGGTGGTCGTGGACCCAGAGGATGAGCGTGCCATTGAAATTTTCATGAACAAGAACCCTCCTGCCAGGTAGGGCTGGGGATTCGGGATGGTAGATCCTGATGCAGAGTTCCCATAGGGCAGCAAGTGCCCTGGTGAATTTTCTGCTCCTGCCTAAGCATTGCCAGTTGGGGGGCCCATCTTGACCAAACTGGCCCATTCTCCAAGGATCTTCCTGAAAGGGAAAGACCCAGACTCAAAACATCTCTTCTTCCATCCTTTCATTCCAAAACTGCCTGGATTATTCAGGGAAACAGTCGTAGGTGACCCAGCCATTGCATTTGGTCTTGGCATGCTCAGTTTTCTAGTGGGAAGGTCAATTTCCTTAGACATATCTCTTCCATACCCTAAGCTTCATTTAATCCAAGACTTTCAACCTCAGCCCTATAGGCAGGCATCTGGGGCTGGGAAACTCTTTTTGGTGGCTAGAACACAAGGATGTTTAGCAGATACATGTGACATCTACCCTCCATATGCCAGTGGTGATGTTCCCTCTAGGTCTAATAACCTAAAATGACTCCAGACATTGCCAATGTCCACTGAGGGGCAAAATTGCCCCAGTTAGAATCTCAGTTTAGAACCACTAATTTATTCCCATCTGTAGTAAATGCTGTCTTCAAAATACGGGCATTTTTACTGTCTGTGGTCACATTCTTAAGCCTATTCATTTGGCCCTGGGGAGAGGAGTCTAGGGCAAAGGCCCTCAAACAGTTCATTCTGTCCCTGTGATAGTAACACAGGGCCCTTGGTTCTTCAAGATGGTTAGGGTTAATACAACTCTTCCTGCTAATGATACTATAAAAGACAGGGGGACTGAATGACAAGTTCTGTGGCAGGCAGCTTGAGGGCACAGAATGAAGGAATAAGCTCCTCCCCCAGATGGATGCCTGGAAGCTGCAGTATGTGTAACAAGGTGTGGGCTTGGGTTATGCACCTGGCTCCCCAAAGAGGCTGTCCAGTTCTCACTCAGTGCCTTGTAACTGGTGCTTCACAGATAATTCTGAAGACTAACAGAATGGTTTTCCAGCTTGCAATAAATAGAAGAGACATCTAGAAAAGGGATTCCTAGCTGGGCGACAGTGGCTTATGCCTGTAATCCAAGCTACTTGGGAGGCAGAGATTAGGAGGATTGTTGTTTGAAGCCACCCTGGGCAAATGGTTTGCAAAACCCTCTCAAAAATGCCCAACATAAAAAAGGGCTCGCAGAATGACTCAAGCAGTAGAGTGCTTGCCTAGCAAGCATGAGTCCCTGAGTTCAAATCCCAGTACCACCAAAAAAGTGTGTGGGGCAGGGGGACTTCTGGTAGTCTTGAGAAGTGACAGCTGGCATCTTTAGAACCACATGAACTCACCAGTCAGAGGCCCGTTGTAGTCTGGGAGCAAATTTCAGGGCACCTAGCCAGGTGAGGTGGCTCATGCCTGTAATCCCAGCTATTCCATATGCAGAGATCTGGAGAATCTTGGTATGATGCCACCCTGGAGAAAGTTAGCTGGGCGTTTTGGTGCATGCCAGCTACATTGGAGACATAGGTAGGAGAATCACAGTCTGAGGCTGGCCAGAGTAAAAACATAAGGTGTGGCTCAGGTGGTAGAATGCTTGCCTAGCAAGCACAAGGCCCTGAGTTCAATTCCCAGTACTGCCCCAAAAAAGGAGAAATTGAAAGACCAAAGTTTCACTCTTCTCCCCCCCACTTAGCCGTGAGGCTTCAGGTGAGTTACTGGCCTGAATCTCAGTTCCTTTGTATAAAGGGAATAAAAGCACCTCCATTAAAGAGTCACAAAGACTGACACAATATCTGGAATGTCCCAAACTCTGAGTGCTTCCTGGGACTCAGAGAACCTGCAGTTTGGGTTTTTGTTTTTTGCTTTTTTTCCCTGATGATGCTAGGAATTGAATCTTGGACCTTAAGCGTGTTAAGAAAATGCTCTACCACTGAGCTATACCCTCAGCCCAGGGGCAACTTTAAATAATGCATCAGCAGCCTCTGCCAACACTGCTATCAGACCATAGCCCAAGTTGATGGTGATTCTGTGAAGGCAGGACTGTGTTGGGTATCCTCTGTTTAAAAAGGCTAAGAAAAATGAAACTAGTCTTAGGAGTATTTCCACAGATTTTAGTAAATTCAAATGGGGGAGAGTTTGTGCCAGTGTCTCCTTAATGATGGAAGGTGCTTGAAATCTTGGCAAGTAATTGAGACATGTCAGATCCTAGAAGTTTGTAACTGGAACATCCTCCCTGTTGTGCCAGCTTTTGGCTGGTGTGTTTGAAGTAAGCAGCATTCACTGCACATTTGCTTTGTACTGATAGTTCCAAGTAGTGTGTGGGCATTCCCTTATTTAATCCTTAAGTTAGTCATATGTTTTACATCTAAGGAAAGCTGAGGCATGGATTGGTAAAGTCACAGGCCCAAGGCCAGACAAGGCATGCAAAAGCCACAATGTAAACCTGAGCAGATGAGTTCAGAGTCCAGGTTCTTAACCCCTGCATGACTGCCAACTTTGTCCTAAGTGGAATGACTTGAGTCTTTTGCGCTCAGCAGTGACTCATGGTGGGCAGATGGGCTTCAGGGGGGCCAAGGCTGTACTCTCTGCAGGATCACAGCTTGTCAGCACTCACAAGGGACTGTGAGGGAAGTCTGGAGCTTCCTGGACAGTAATCACAGCTTTTCTTCCTCCATTCCTCTCCTAGGTGCACCCTGGCTGACATCATCATGGAGAAGCTGACTGAGAAGCAAACCGAAGTTGAGACGGTCATGTCAGAAGTGTCGGGCTTCCCTATGCCACAGCTGGACCCCCGGGTCCTAGAGGTCTACAGAGGGGTCCGGGAGGTACAACCTGAGAGGGCAGCCATGGTGGGATATACTTATGGGAGTTACTGTCTCAGGTATTGGGGCCTACATCTCGTCTTATAACAAGTAAGGCGTAGCCAGGTGCCAGTGGCTCATGACTACTCAGGAGGCAGAGATGAGGAGGATCGTGGTTTGAAGCCAGCCCAGGCAACTAGTTCACAAGACTCTATCTCAAAAATACCTAACACAAAAAGGGCTGGCAGAGTGGCTCAAGGTGAAGGCCCTGAGTTCAAACCCCAATACTGCAAAACATAAAATAAAAAAACAAGCTGTGATGACCGAGGGTAGGCTAGGCTGGAGGCAGTGCGTGGGGGTTGAGATTCTTGCTCTGCCTCCCAGCGACCTCTGGGTAAATTCCCCAACTCTGGTCTTCTGAAGAAAGAGGATAGTAATAGCACCACCCTACAATTGTGAGAACAAACAAGTTAGCATGTGTAGAGCACCTGGCTGAGACCCTGGCACGGGGCCCGGTGATGTAGGTGGTAATGGTGATGATTTTGCCTTCCCTCGTCCCCAGGTGTTGTCTAAGTACCGCAGCGGGAAACTGCCCAAAGCTTTCAAGATCATCCCTGCATTGTCTAACTGGGAGCAGATTCTCTATGTCACAGAGCCTGAGGCCTGGACTGCAGCTGCCATGTACCAAGCCACCAGGTGGTGTAAATGGGTTACCATGGTCGTCGGCAGGGAGGGTGTGGGCCACCCTCACGCTGGCGCTTTGCCCACAGTTCCATCGTGTGCTTCTTCCTAGGACCATTTTCCTGGCTTTTCCTCTTTCGTTTTGGGTTGAAAACCCTCTGTCATGAGCTTCTAGGGAAGAGGTTTATAGCTACTGGGATACAACCCTGGTGTGTCAGTGGCCTCAGAAGTCTGTGGTTTGCCAGGCTTGCTCAGGTTCTTTGTGACAGCAAGGTAGAGGGAAGCCATGATAGGAAAGGAGGGTGAGTCACTGAATAACCTCCAAAGACTGAACTGGGGGTGTACTTGCCCAGCATGCCTGAGGCCCTGCTCAGTTCCCAGCTCTTGGAACACACCAGACAGACAGCATGCACCCTATTTTGGGTACATCCTCTTGCTCCTCCTGTTCCTCTCTAAGCTGACCTGGGTGTGGTACTTAACACAGCTCCTCCACAGCCCTCTCTGTAAAGATGTCTCCATATCTTAGTATAAAATCTCATATGCACCGTCCACAGTGGTGTTTAAAGGGCAGATTCAGACTGTCACGTGACTTGAGAATTCCCACCCCACTAGGATCTTTGCCTCTAACCTGAAGGAACGTATGGCCCAGCGCTTCTATAACCTCGTCCTGCTTCCCCGGGTGCGAGATGATATTGCTGAGTACAAACGACTCAATTTCCACCTCTACATGGCCCTCAAGAAAGCCCTGTTCAAGCCCGGAGCCTGGTTCAAAGGTGAGAGCCCCAGAGCTGCGAGTTGGGAAAGGATGAGCAAGAGCTTCTGGAGGTGACAGAGGCAGACCTAACTTGGGGAATGACTCTCTCCGAGGCCACATGTCTGCAGTGATCCCTGGGGTGGGATGGCTGGGGAGTCTTCTTCTCACCTCTTCTCACCTCAGACTTGAAGTGACTGCCTTCTGGCCCTCCCCAGGAATTCTGATTCCACTGTGCGAGTCTGGCACTTGTACCCTCCGGGAAGCCATCATTGTGGGTAGCATCATCACCAAGTGCTCCATCCCTGTGTTGCACTCCAGGTATTGTTGGAAGAGCGGAGCAGATGGCAGTGAATGGCCACATAGTGGAATTGCCAGGACTTGGGCATGGGGGCAGAATGGAGGAAGAGCTAGAAATACCTTGAGTTTGTGAATTGTTTAAGTTGGGGTGTGGGGGGGTGTCCACTGGAATATGGTGCACAGTAAATGGATGAATAAATGAATAGGAACCTGGGAAGTAGGTAAGGGTGGGCATGGCGAGGCATTTTGATTTAGGGACTTGTAGTCTAAGGCGAAGGTATGGGATTGATGTGTGTAGAGGTGGTAACTAGGATCCAGAGAGTACAATAAAGTTGTATAGGTGAGGAGTGCCTGCAGTGGGGGTCAGCAGAGGGAAAGAAAAAGACTCCTTTCTCCAGCATCTCCCTCATGACTTTCCCACCCCACCAGTGCAGCCATGCTGAAAATTGCAGAGATGGAATACAGCGGTGCCAACAGCATATTCCTACGACTGCTGCTGGACAAGAAGTACGCACTGCCCTACCGAGTGCTGGATGCCCTAGTCTTCCACTTTCTGGGCTTCCGAACGGAGAAGCGCCAGCTGCCAGTGCTCTGGCACCAGTGCCTCCTAACATTGGCCCAGCGCTACAAGGCAGACTTGGCCACAGAACAGAAGGAGGCCCTCCTGGAACTGCTCCGGCTGCAGCCCCATCCACAGCTGTCCCCTGAGATTAGGCGTGAGCTTCAGGGTGCAGTCCCCAGAGATGTGGAAGATGTTCCCGTCACTATGGAGTGAGAATGGCCCAAGGAGCATGGGATCTGTTGGTGACAGAGGGTGACACTTCATGGCTAAAGACCTAAATCAGGGCACTGGGGCATCTGTGGCTCCCAGTCTTGGGCAGGGGAACTGAGTTTGGTTGGCTCCTCCCATTCTAGACTTTGGTCTCTGCTCACTTCTGGGACCTGAGGTTCCACACCCCAGCATTTCCACACCCAGGCTGGGGCTTGGCATAAGTCCTTCCTTCCCAGCTATTGTGTCATGTCACTGGGATGCTGATTAAACAAAGGCAGGTATTTATTGGAGCTCTGGGTTTTGGCGTGGTCCATGGAGGCCTTCCTACTTCCCTCTAGCTTTCCTGTTCTCAATTTGTTTCTCTAGGCTGTACTAAATTTGTTCGCCCCAGTGGGTGCATTGTCTCCTGCTCCTGACAGGACACCACTGCTTTGGCAGTACCAGCAGGTTGTTGGGAAGCTAGTCAGGGCAGAGCTGTGGATGAAGCCTCTCCTCAAGGACAGAGACAAGGAAGGTCAGGCCCAGGAATGAGTAGATCCAAGTCAGCACCAGTAAGGGTTTCTTCCTAGCTTTCTGACCAGTGGTTAGTGAATTAGGGCCAAATGCCTATTTTTATGTAGCTGGTGAACCAAAAAATGATTTTTACATTTTGAAATGTTTGAGGGGAAGTTAAAAGGACAGTATTTTGTGACATGGGAGAATTACATGAAATTAAATTCTTAGTGTCCATAAAGTTTTCTTGGAGCACAGCCATGCCCCATCCATTTTGCTTACTGTGGGTGCCTTTATGCCACCATAGCAGAGCTGGGTGTCACCCTCCTGTAGACACTTGTTACTCGCTTTTGAAAATGTGTTTGTTGCTGCCCGATTAATGTTTGGAAACAGGTTTACTTGAGTGCAGAAAACTGTTCCCAGCTGAACCAAGACAAATGACAACCCAAAACTACCAGTGCCCTCAGCTCACCCATGTCTGGGAGGTATTGCTGCTGTTCCACCACTGCATCAGAACAAGGTGTAAGGTCCACTTCCACAAGCAGGGGCCATATTTATTATAGGTTGTTTCTTACCCATTAACATGTAAAAGTATGCTTTTTCTTTTAAAAAAAAAAGGGGGGGGCTGGTGGAGTGGCTCAAGTGATGAGTGCCTGCCCTGAGTTCAAGCCCCCCAGTAACACCCCCAAACAAAAAACACATTTAGGATTTTCTTTCCTACAGTGCTGGGGCCTCCTGTGTGCCAAGGAAGAGCTATACCGCTGACCCCCACCCAGCTCCACTCGGTTTTTTTTAAGAGAGGGCCTTGTCAGGTGCTGGTGGCTCACATCTGTAATCCTAGCTATTCAGGAGGCAGAGATCAGAGGATCACTGTTTGAAGCCAGCCTGGGCAAACAGTTCTGGAGACTATCTCAAAAATATCTAACAGAAAAAAAGGACTGGCAGAGTGGTTCAAGGTGTAGGTCCTGAGTTCAAACCCCAGTACTGCATAAATAAATAAAGACAGGGCCTTGCCACGTAGCCCAGGCTGGCTCTACCTTACAAGTGCTGAGATTACAGGCCTATGCCTCATTTGGTGACATCATGTTTTTGGTGATTGCACCTCAAGCCCCATTTTCCCATAAGCCTTCTGGGGTTTGCCATGCAATTCTCATGGTGCAGTGATTTTTTTGGAATGCTTAGGTCACATAAGGCAGAACTGGTGGGCAGAGACTGGCCCCCAAATCCATATAGGCCCTGTGTAGAAAAAGGTGTTCTATGCTTTAAACATTTGACTCTGCCTCTTCACTCATTCAGTTTACAAAGAGGTCAACACCATGGAATCCAAGAAGCCAAAGCCGGTTTTATTCCAGAATCTTTATTAAGGCAGCATGATGGTCCTGGGCTACCAGCCTAAACCTTGTGGCCTTAGGAAAGACCTGTGTCAACAGGGCTTGCCTCCCTCTCCAGACAGGGGCTATCACCTCCAAGGCATCCCTGCTTCATCCTCCTCACTGGAGGGTGGAACAGAGAGCCAAGGGGAGAGGAGGGCACAGCCCCACCCCAGGCTGTAGCAGCTCCTGGGCCACAAAGATTCTGTAGCTGGCAGCAGAGGGGAGGGAAACAGCAACCACCAGGGTTACCACCACTTGTGGGGTATAGGCCCCACTGCACCCTCTTACAGTTGTACTCAAGCAATTAATAAATTAAAATGACTTCATCCTTCAGCACCAAACCCCTCAATCACACAGGAGAAGCTGAGCAGAAAGCAAAGCAAGGAGGAATTTGTTGGTTCATGCCCCTCTGACCAAGGCCTAGGCCCTTCCCTCTAGGAGCAGCTGGGAGCATGGATTATATAGGGGCCTCCAAAGTGCTGAGAGGAGCCATCTCAACTGTTTTCAAGATGCTTGAAGGACCCCAATCCAAATGCAATAACCCTAGAAGGGGCAACACCTTTGGAAGGCACTGGGGCATTTTGGCATGAGAGCCCCAGATAAAGGGGGCCTCAAAAAAGGAATGCTGGTGCATGAATTTTATTGTTTGTACTTTGTCTGACCAGCCTGGCCCAGCCTCAGCTATAGACGGAAGGAGGTGAGCTGGTCAGAGGCAGGAGAAAGAGGAGCTGACTGGCCATGCAGACAACATAGCTGGCTAGGCCCCTTAGTGCACACTGCGGGGATAGGCAGGACCTGGCCCCTTGGGCTTTGTGAGGGGAAAGAAGGAGCCCCCTCTTGCTTCAGACGTGGCATGGATTGTTCCTAGAGGCAGAGAAGGTGTACCAATGGCCCCTCCCCTGCTTAGTGGCCACTCGAGGGGGCCTGTCCGGGGCTACAGGTGGATGGCTGTGACATCTGTGGGTGTGCTGGTCTGGCTGGGTCCCTGGCTGCTGGCGCCCCGGGGGGCTTTGGGTGCCGGACTGGGGGTGGTCTGGGAGGCTTCTCTCAGGCTCTCCCTGAGCGCAGCTTCAATCTGCTCCTGACAGGCCCGCAGGCAGTCCTGGGAACAACAGAACATTGAGGAGTCCCTGGCATCTGGCAGCAGGTGCAGGGAAAGGATGCCTCACCTCCAGGCACACAGGGAGTCTGGGGAGGTTAGGCCACAGCCCAGCCCAGGAATCTGGTCTACAGTTCTCAGAAACTGGCAAGAGGATGTGGCAAGAGGGTGTGAGAGCAGCACTGCATCCGACACCAAATCCCCAACCCCCTTAACACCGCACACCACTTGGCAAAAAAAGGGCGCCTAGGGCCAGTGTCCTTACCCCACCCAGGACACTTGCTCCTCTCCAGACCACAAGGGCAGGACATGAAAGGCCACTGAAACAGGCATGGAGTGTGAAACCAGAAGTTAGGCCCCAGGGTTGGGGGGTGGGGTGGGAAAGGTATGCCTCCCTCTACTGGGGGCCCAGGGAATAGCACTGCTTTGTGAAGGGGCACACTGCTCCCTGCCCAGCTGGTAACACTCACCACTTCAGTGCCTGTGATTCCTGCCAGCAGCTCCGTGAGCTCATCCCCGGATGTGGAGCAGGCACCCAGGCCTTGCACTGCAGCCCCAATGCTGCCTGTTGCAATCATGGATGGCGGATACATGGCAAAGGTGTAATCTTGGAAAGGAGAGGAAACCATGAGACAGGAAACCTTGATATGGCCATCAGCTGACTTCCTACTCCTTCGTGCCAGGGGGCAAAGGATAGACCCCCCAGGAGTGGGCGAATGAGATATGGGTAAGGGAGAAAGGCTGAAAAGAGCCACTTTCTTAAGAGAGGATCAGGATGTGTGTTAGGGTTGAGTTTGTTTTTTGTTTTTGTAGTGCTGGGGATGCAACCCAGGGCCTCAGCATGGTAGGCAAGCAGGGAGGGCCACTGAGCTATATCTCAAGCCTGAGATGATGAAAGTGAACAGCAAAATTCCATCCATCCAGGGTGGGCCTAGCCAGGGACTAGAGAATACACAAAACCTTCCCTGGTGTGGAAAGCCAACAACTTGTTCACTGTGAGACCTTGGGCAAGTCACTTCTCACTACACTCTCAGTGTCTCACCTACATACTCGTCTCCAATCCCATATAACTCTGATTACTGAAAATAGGAGCTTGAAGCATTTACAATTTTCATGAGTGAATTTTGAGAGGACTATAAACTAGAATTTCCTAGTTACCTCTTACCCTTCTGATTTTCTGATTTGGCAAAAAAATGTGTGCCCGGCTCTTACCTGTAGCACAGAGGGCCAGAAAAGTCTGGGCATGCTTTCTGACTAAGGCCTGCCGGTCACTGGGCAGAGAAAGCCGATGCAGAATCAGGGCCAGGAAGTCATGTGCAATTACAGCAGCCAGGTCCCACTTGAGCTTCCCCAGGACCAGCACCTCCCATTCCTGGGGGTGAGGAAGGAGGGTGGAGTCAGTGGCCAGAGAAACGGGATGGGAGGGACATAGCAGGACACTCACAGAGAAGGAAGCCCAACAAACTTGAAACTCAAGACCTCAGTTCTGCTTCTGGCTTCTGGGACTGGTACAACAGAAGAGTACAGGGTAGGAAGAGCTGGGAGGCATTTGCTCTGAGCAACTATTGATCACTTACTAGTTATCAGGACTACATGAATTATCCCTTTTAATCCTGACATGAGCATGAATTTGGAGGCTTCTCAAGGACTTGAGAAAGGGGATGTCACCTCTAGCTTCCCCCTGCCCAACTCTTATCTCAATAAACCTCCACCTCTTAAAGAAACAGGAGTAAACATGAGGCCACTCTTCCTATGACACTCTGAGGTTCCTCAAAGGGGAGGTTGCCCAACCCAACCCACATCCCCTTGGTGGGACATAAGGGGTGGGTTCTGGGGTGTAACACCCCACCCCATTCCCTTTAACTGGAACCTACAATGTCTGGTGTCACTTGACTCTCAAGAGAAGAGGGAGAGGCCAAATCAGACAGGATGGATCCAGATGACGCCCTCCCCCCCCAAGGAACCAAGCCCTGTCCCCACCTGCCAAGCCTATATACCAATACCAGGTCTTTAGAGGTAGGTTGGCACCCCACTCCAGTCCACTCATCTGGGGTTCCCTGACCTGGCCCATTTCTGAATCTCACACATGAGGATTTCTTCATTGTTTTATCTCAGGAAGGAACTAGTGGGTTTGACTCCTTACTGAGGCAGAAATAGCAGCCCCACCCAAACTCTTCCAGGTCCCCAGCCACAGCAGTCCCTCTCTTGGCCCCCACCTAGGTGTCAGCCCCAAGATTCTCACAGGGCCCCATTAGAAACAGCCCAAGCTGGAGCCAGGTTTCAGCTCCCAGGCTCGCCCCAGTGGCCAGACTCCCCACACAAGGTAAACAGAGAACACTCAGCCACCAAAGGAACATCCAGAAGGTAACCTGAGGTGGGGCTCTCCCAGTGGGAGGCTGGAATCCTGGGGGAGGGAAAGTAGCCACCCTCCCCTGAATCAAGGTGATCCCTGAGAATCAAAGTCCTGCTTGGAGAACTCATGGGAGGGATTAGCTGTAGGGCAGGCAGCATCCATCACATACATCCATGGCCAAATTCAAGGCTCAGTGCAATGCTGACCTGGACCTCTCCCTTCTTCCCTGGGCCCCAACCCTCTCTGCTGCACAAGATCTTAGACTACTGGAGTTCTCAGTGGACCCTCCCAACTCTGACCTTTTAAGAAAGTGTCTGTATACCCCCAGCTCGGGCTAAAAAAGCTCCACCCCCACCAGCACATACCCTACCCCAATCTTCTCACAAAGAGGAAGTCCTCTTCTACCTTCCAGCCTCAACCCACCAAAAACACATCTTGCTTCCTGGCCCTGGAAACCAGCTGCACCTACACACTGGCCCAAAACTACCAGACTCATCACAGAGAGCTGTGGGGCCTCCCGGATTCCCAACTCTGGCCTCCTACTCCCATCTCTGAAAGCAACTTGGCAGGAAAAGGAATCCAGTTCCCCACTCACAGCAGTCAGAGGCCCCAGTACCCTAGCTTCCCAGCCAGCCAATCACAGCCGCCTGCTTGCTGCCCTCCTCCCTGGGAGATGGGGCCCAGAGACTCCTCTCAGGGTCAGGAGTCTTGGCCTGCCACAGAGCAAGGTGAAGGGAGGTGCCAGCTCAATCACCAGGTCCCTTGGGAGATGATGTGCAGGCCCTAAATACCCTCTTCCAGATCCAAGCAGCTTCCCACCTCCTCCCCCAGACTCCTCAGAGGCAGGGCAGAACCCTGACTGTCCTGCCCTGCCTGGAGGAGCCCAGCCCAAGTTCCCAGCAAGAGGCCCAAGGAGCCACTTCCCAAACCACAGGAGTGACAGCAGCTCCCCACAGGGTTATGAAAGCCCTGGGTAAGAGTGGGCGGGCCAGGGGAGGGGGCATCATTATCACTTCGGAAGCAGCAGCAGCTCAGCTCCCAGCTGGGGGCCTTTGGCTAAGAGGGAAAAGGTGTCTTTTCCACTGGCCTAAAGCAGCTGCTCCACTTTTTCAGAATGAGGACAAGGAAGGGAGGATTAGGAAGGAGCTGTGTCTTTGGGGTGAGAAGGGAAGGGGAAGGAAAGACTAACGGGATGCAGGAAAGACCTCAGCACTTCCTTAGAGCAATCAGAGCCCGGCTTTAATCGGCTCTGGGAGACTTTTCTATCACAAAGTCCACGTAGGGACAGACTCAACCAAGGCAGCCCCCTCCCCGACTTGTAGCACATTCCAGTCCCCCAACTTCGGTGTGGGGTGTGCAGGCATGCCCTACTTCTGCCGCTGATAAATAACGCATAGTGGTGGTGTAAAACTCAGAGGCAGAGTGCTAGGGTACAGACATGCAGTTCGACTTGTTGCTATCTGGGGGAAAGACCAGGAAGGAGTGGCACCCCCCTGAGGTCACAAGGAGACCGATTTAGTTTAAGCCTGTGACTCAAGCTGGACCATCACACTGCACCGTCACACCCCACATTGTTCCATCTTTGTCCTACCCCAGTTCTTTAAAAAACAAAACACAACCCTCAGCTTGCCTGAACCCCTTCCCAGTGGGCAGAAAGCCTCAGGTCTTGGCTTTCCTTTTCCTGGGAAATCCGGTGACAGTTTGTGTTGGGATGGGGAGGGTGGGGGAGATGGGGGGGGGTGGTTACATACGCACCCGCAACTGCCAGGGAGACACGGCTTGGTCAGTGTAGATGCACAGTTTCTCGATAGTCAGGGGCGTGGTCTCCCGCAGCTTGGAGGCCAGCAACAGGCAGACCGAACCTAGGAGTTGCAACTGTGCCTTTCTGGTGGGGACGCAGGACAGGTAGCGATCCAGATAGTTCATGGCCAGGGGGAAGACTTCCTCCTCACAGCGCTGCTCCTCGCACACCTGGGGGATGGCGCACGGTCATTACTAGGGCAAGAGCGGGGGAAACACTTGCGGGGGCGGGGGTGCGTGCGGAAGGGAGGTGGATTGGGTAGCAAAATTGAGACGGGGGTAAGCTACTTACAGTGACAAAGACCAATAACAGAGGATGCGTCCTCCTCAAGGTGACGCCCCCCCACTTCCTCTGCTTTGCCTCCTCCCCGCTACCCCGGCGTGTGTGCGGGGGGGGGGGGAAGCAGAGGCGCCCCTCCTTACCAAGGATTCCAGATTCCCCTCCCCCACAGCGAGGGGAAGGAGGGTGGAAGGGTCACCCACAGTAGCCGGAGAGCTGGGACCTTACCCCCATTACCACTGCACACACCCAAGGGGAAGGGAGGGGACGCCTGCCTCTGTCTCCCGCACTTTTCATTTTCCTGTCGGCCGGAACAGCGCGCGCGCCACCCCCACCGGCTTCCCCGCCAGAACCCCCGCGACAGACACAGGAACCAGCCTGGGGCGGGGGCGGCCAAGCCCAAGGTTTTTCCAAGCAAGCTCTCCAGAGAAGATCGGGAGGGGGAGAGAAGCAGGAGACGCTAAGAGAAGCCGGAGTGGGGGGGGGGGAAGGGGAGGGTGGCCCTTGGCCCGTTTTCCCGGCCCGAAGACAAGCTTAGTTAGGGTGCCAAATGACTGGCAGTCACAGAGGAGCCGACTGGGATTGGCTTAGAGAAGGGAACAACACGGAGGCAGCTGGGTAGGGTGCCCAAGTGAAAAAGGCCAGGCCCCGGAGATCGGGCCACCGGATCATCTCGCAGACGCTAACTGGGATCATGGTGTCCCGACAGGGTGGCCTCGGTGTGTGCAGAGCGGGGATCGGCGTGGGGACAGAGGGAGACGCGTACCTCCAGCATCCAGTATGCCAGCATCTTCCGCATGTGCGGCTTGATCTCCTTCTGCACGCACTGGAAGTAGGAGGCGCGGGGCACGTAGCGCTCCTCCAGGCGGAGCAAGCTCTGCAGGACACGCTGGTCCCCCAGCAGCCGCGGGTCCGGGCCGGCCCGGGGCGCGTGCCGGGTGCCCTCGCAACACAGCAACTCCATGATCAGCGCACGGGGCAGGGCGGGCGTGCGGGCCGGCGAGGCAGAGCACAGGCGGCGGGCGGGTCTGGCGCGGGCGCGGGCGCTGGCGCTGGCACTGTGCGGAGAAGCCCCAGCCCGCCCGCCACCCGCGCGCGCGCCGCTTCCCTGACAGGCGCCCCGCCCCTCGCGACGATGTAGCAACCGTGGAATGCTCCGACGTCGCAACGTTCCAAGGGGCGGGGCGGCCGGCGCCCAGACGGAAAGGGCTGGCGGCGCTCGCCCCTCCCTCCCCGCGGCCCCATTGGTCCGCAGGGCTCAGGCCGCCGGGCTTCCGGGCCCTTGGGGCACCCCGATCGATGGGGTGGAGAGAACTTTCTGGGAGGTGTCTTCTTCCCCATCAGTGGGCCCTCCCAAGTAAGCTTCCCTGACTCCTAGACTCACCCAGCAAAGAACTTTTCTCCAAAGATGATTCATTCATTCGAGTATTCACTCGTCAAACCCCACCTTACCAGCCGCTTGGCTCTAAAGGAATGTGATGATAGCTAGTTTTTAGTGAACGGCGTTCTAAAGCACACGTGTATAGCATCAAATTTTCACGAAAGCTCTGAGTTAGGTATTATACTTGTTTTACAGATGAGGAAACTGAGGCATTGGGAATCTGGCCATCTGGCTCCAGAGTCTTCGTTCGCCACTCTTTCTTCTTAAACTGAGTTCCCCAGACCATCGACTCTGCGCGGGCTGGGAGCCTAGCTGCCTAGAAAGGTCGATTCTCAGGCCTGGTGAATCCAAATCTGCATTTTTAGCTAGCTCCCTGTGCACTCGAAGTACGACCAGCTTTGGTCTACACCAGCTTATTACAGAAATACACCGGGCAGAAAGACCACGGATTCAAGGCCTCCCCTTGTCATCAGCTCCTTGTGTGGACTCAGTTCTGTCGGGGGAACGAGACGCCCGCTGAAGGAATTTCTTGCGCAGACTTTGTGAAGACCTACCAGCTGCCATTTCTTCCACATCCCAAACTTTGGGTTACTTTGTAGTGTCTCCCCCCCACACCATGGACCTCAGGTGACCAAGTAGCAGAGCTCAGGCATTTAAAAGTGTTCCAAACGGGAGGAAGCTTTGGGGACCCTCCAGGGCGCTCCAATTGTAAGAGACGCAAAGGAAGTAGCTGGAGAAATGGTCTTGTGTAACAGAAGGTGCACGCTCTACGCCATTTTCTCAATGAATTGTCCTCTTTTACCATAATAAATTTTATTATAGTTCTCGTATCACGAAAACATTCGCTTACACTATAGAAAACTGCTTGCAATTTTGAATATCTTGAGATAACTCTTTAAAATGTCAATGTTTATTTTTCTAACTTTTATTGTATGAATAGCCACGTGTTAATGGTACTAACACAATTTTTTTCGACTAAAAAAAAATACTGTTAAACACTCTGCCATACCCTCATGGATATGGGAAAAAAGATGTACCCTGTGGCACCTTTTCAGTGGCTGCGGAGTATACCAGTGGGTGAACGTATCATAATGTATGTTACAAACCTGTATCCCAGCTGGGGGCAGGGCTCAAGTGGTAGAGCACTGTGTACCAAGCACAAGGCTCTGAGTCCAAACCCCAGTGCCACCAAATGGCATTCTAGGTCTTCCCTATCACAAAGAACACTGTAAAACATTTTTGTGGTAATAGCGCCGTGCACACTCACCATCATTTCTAAGAGTGAATTAATGTCTAGAAGCAGAGTTTCCTAATCTAAGGTTATGAAACATTCTAAACCTTTTGATACAGTTCTTGTTACCAAACTTCACTGCAGAAGTAACACTAGCTTTTTTTAGTTTTTCTTCTTTTTTTTTTTATTTTGTGAGACTGCGGTTTGAACTTGTAAACTCTACTACTTGAACCACACCTTCAGTCCATTTTGGAGATGGGGGGGGGTCTCGCAAGCTATTTGCCTGGGCTGGCCTTGAACCTCAATCCTCCAGATCTCAGCCTCCCAAATAGCTAGGATTACAGGCGTGAGCCACTATTGACTGGCTCCTCAAAGGATTTTTTTTTAATAGACTTTTTAAATAGCTTAGTTTTATGTAGCCCTATTTACCAATATTTTCTTCAATGATTTCTGAATTGAATAGTACCTTCCCTGACCTAAAATTATAGAAATACTAAAGAAATCCAAGGAATATTTATTAACGAATTTTAACTACCAGGGAGCTCTGGAGAAAGCAGATAGATGCCTCTGTCCTGCCTCAGAGCTTCTCATTCTTCAAGTGTGTTCATGAGGAAACCCCAAAATCTGCATTTTTAAGAGTATATATGCAAAGTTTTGTTTTTCTTTGTTTTGCTTTTTATGTGCCATACTGGGGACTGGACCCAGCACTGAGCACTAGGCCCGTGACCTACCACTGAATTACCCTCCAGCCCCTAAATATAAATACTAAGGAGTGTCTCTAGCTTCCTTGCTCCCAAATGATGGGCCAGTGTGTCCCACTGTGCTGATTCAACCACCTGTCCTGTACCCCACTCACTTCCCTGCCGTAAGTACCCCTTCCTGGTTTTTGAATTTTACACGGTGCCTCATTTCGGTCACTTACCGAAAATACTTGCAGTAGGAACTGGTCCTCAGAATTCCTACTGCTTTTGTCTAAGAACCCTCATCCATGAGGCTGTGCGAATGTGGTTCAAGAGAGCACGTGCCTAAGCATGCATGAGGCCGTAAATTCAATCCCCAGTGTCACACATTCTCACACAGAACCCTCATCTGGTCTTTACTCCAATATTGGGCATTCAAAGTTCATCACTCTGAAATATCCCAGAGAGAACTGGCCTGTAACTACAGTAAGAGATGTATAAATTAGGTAAAAATCCAATTCGAAACTAAGATGGGAGCTGGGCACCAGTGGCTCACACCTGTAATCCTGTCTACCCAGGAGGCAGAGATCAGGAGGATCAAGATTTGAAGTCAACCTGGACAAATACTTCGTGAGACCCTCCTCAAAAAAACCCATGACAAAAAAAAAAAAATAAAGGGCTGGCAGAGTGGCTCAAGGTGTCGGTCCAGAGTTCAAACCCCAGTCTGCAAAAAAAACAAAAAAAGAAAGAAGGAAGGAAACTGAGATGGGCAGAGAAGGAGGGCACAGCATCTCCTTCTAGCAGGCCTCTAAAAACAGGCCAGGGCCCCTGGCTGCCCTCCCCCGCTCCTCAGCCTTCCTGTATCCCTGTTCATCTCACTTCCTCCACCCGAAGTAGCCTCTCAGTTCACTCACTCATCTTCCCAGGCCCAGCTGAGGTCCACCTGCTCCAGACAGCCTTCCTAGAACGGCCTGGCGACAGCAACCAGCCCTCTGGCCTCCACACTCCTGCAGATCCCACCGCAAGTGCTGGGAATTGGCTGTCTGGTCCTGGCCCTGCTGTCTTTCCTCAGTCAGCCCCGTGCTGTGACCACCAGCAACAGTAACAGCCCTTGGTGCAAACTCAATACGTTCCAGGCACTGCACATACCTGGTCCATATGGAATCATTTTATCTCCATAACGACCTGATAGGAAGTTTACTATTATTTGGTTCCCTTTTAACAGAAGCCAGCTCAAGGTCACATAGTAAGTGGTAGAGATGAAATTCAACCAGTAGTCTGCCTCCAAAGTTCATGCTCTATTGTTTTGTCTTTTTTTTTTAAACCCAAGCTGGCCTCAAACTCACAGTCCTCTTGCCTTAGTCTCCCAAGTGCCAGAATTAGAGACACGCACCACCATGCCCAGGCAGAGGTTCGTGTTCACTTCATTTTCCTGTCTCTTGTGCCATCCTGTGGGTGTGTGGGTATCGATTATTAGTTATTGATACAGTAACTGAAGAAGAAACTGTCTAATCCTGAAAGCTGGAGCGGGCTCCTGCGCTGCACACTGGGGAAGGGAGTGCCTGGTGTTCAGACCTTTGTGACAGTCACTCTGCTTCCTTCCAGCTTGGACAGGCATTTCAAAGCCACTCTGTCCTGGCCCTTTGGGGCCAAAGAGCTGGCCAGCCACACTTGGGTTGGCCGATGACATGGAAGATGGCTCCATGGAGAACCAGGGCAAAGGGACTCCTGGGAAGTGGGTTGATCTCCCTGGAACTTTTCCATTGCCTCCCCTCAAGAGGAACAAGAAAGGAAAAAAGACAGAGTGGGCTGTGGGCATGGCTCAAGTGGTAGAAGCCCTGAGTTCAACCCCCCAAAAAAACAAAACAAAACAGAGCAATGACCTGGGTCAGAATGGGGAGGAGCTTCTGGCCAGGTGCATTCAATTAGAAAAAGTTACTCAGTAAAATGGCCAATTAGAGGAAGGCTGGAATGGAATGTCACAGGCCAGAGGGGAAGCCTGAGGACCAAGGACACAACGCTTTCTTCCTCCTCTTCACCATTGAAATGGCTCCATCTGAGAATTAGAAGGAGGAATAAGGTGACACTGAAGCCTGTCCCCCACAGTCCACCATCTATGACTCAGATACCTTCAGGCCCAATGAGATGTCAGGCAGCCCTGAGCCAAGTGTGGGGCTGGGGAGAAGGTGAGCAAGGCTCGGGAATCAAGCCGCTTTTAGTTCAAAAACTGGCTCCTCACCTAAGATGTTGAGGCAATTATTGGAGCCTCTCTCTTGGCTGTTTCTCTTTTTGTCCAGTCAAGATAATAAGGGCCTTACCCTCTAGGGGTGCCCTGAGGACAGAACCAGCAGAAAACATGTTCCCATGTCTGGCACAAAGCAAACACTTAAAAATGGTAGCTTCTGTAATAATAATTGTTGTTATTCCCTTTCCCAAAAAGCTTTGTCAGCTGGATGTAATTCCAGCACTTGGGAGGTGGAGGCAGGAGGATTACAAGTTCGAGGTGAGCTCTGGCAAAAGTAATGAAACCCTGTCTCAAAAACGAAATGCAAACAAAAGGGCTGGGGCTGTGGCTCAAGTGATAGAGAGCTTGCCAGCAGGAGGACCTGGGTTCAATCCCCAGCATCCCGTTGTGACGATGGGACTGAGAAGCTAAACTTCTTCATCCATATGTACATACGGGCAATTCACAACAATAAACATAATACAGAGGCTAGTATTGAACCCAGGGTCTTCTGTATGCCAAGGACACCCCCCCCAGCCCCAGCTGGGCCTCCGGTTATTAATATGCATTAATATGCATTGACATGAATGCAATACCGTAAACATGTAACTACAGAGTTCCTCCATTGCTCCACGTGTGCTCCAATTGGTTTTGCTATTGTTTTCTCCTGATTAGACATGGGCTAAGCATTTTTGGTAGTGATATTCCATAGGTGATATGTTTAAATATATTTGCATTGTGAAAAAAATCAAACATATCAAACTGAACATAATTTAACATTTTCTTTGCAGATTCAGGAGACACCTGAGTGCTTACAGTGTTCTCTTTGTATGTCTGGGGTTTGAATTCAGGGCTTCGCACTTGCAAAGCAGGTACGCTACCACTTGAGCCACACTTACAGTCCATTTGGCTCTGGTTATTTTAGAGATGGGGGTCTCTCAAACTATTTGGCTGGGCTGACAGTGAAGCTCAATCCTCCCAATCTCAGCCCCCTAAGTAGCTAGGATTACATTTGGTAGTACTGGTTTTTGAACTCAGGGCTTTGTGCTTGCTAGGCCTGAGTTCAAAAGTTCTGCTATACCACTTGAACCACACCCCAAGCCCACTTGTTCAGTATTTCATATCAGTAATCTTTACTTCTTGCTTATTCATTGCTATCAGTAAACACTGAACTACTTCCAATGTCTACAAAATACTCTATTTATAAACTGTGACCATACCAGCTACTCTAATGTATTATATACATTGCAGATCACTCAAAGAAATATTAAAAGAATAAGACAAAAACACACACATACAATTGTTTGCGCTTCCTTCCCATTTGACAAAGGAGTGTCTCCTGCTCAGAGTGCACCAGATTTACCATCCACCTCTCAAACTTCCCTATTGATTAAGACTCAGTCCTACTGGGCCACCTTCCCCACACAGCCCTTCAGGCAGTACTATCAAGTCAGAACTGGGTGTGAGTTGACCTGTTTGCTCTGTTTCTGTTTCACATGGGACACTGGCTTCTTGGCAACCTCATATGGAAGGCCAATGGCATGTTACATTTAATTTTGCCAAAACGGAAATCCTAACCTTCCGCCAATAAACCTGCTCTTCTCCAGCTCCCCATCTCAAAAAACTCCCAGCTCAGTCGGGACACTTGGTGGCTTTCCTGACTCCTCTCTCAAAGCCATATTCCTCCACCTGCAGATCATAGAGGAGCTACTTTGAAAAATTTCCAGACTCTACCCT